TCACATGCCGTAACTCAGGATCTTGAAAAGACTCCAAATCACTTTGGGCTCTCCTGGTTTGCAGAGCATGGAACAGCTCTGGTCTGCCAACCACGTGATGTGAGGCTGAGAAACCACCCGTGGTAGCCTTCCGGCCCCTGGGCTCTGCTGGGCTGGCAGTGCTTTGAGAAGCAGCCAACACAGCCAGGCTGCCAAAGTTAATTGTCACATGGAACCAAGGTCGCCAAAAACTGTTGGGGAAAAGAAGGTGGCAAAAAGAAGGCAATCAGGAGTTTAGGGTGGGGGCAATTAGCAGGCACGGGCCCCATCACAGCCACTACTGGGCATACGCCAGAGGCAGGCACAGGCTGGGACTTCTGTTTATGGTTTATTTAGTGGTATTTGGGGCAAAGGGTAAGGAGAAAGAGTTATGCCACCAGCAAGGTATGGTTCCACTGTATGAGGGAAAAACTCTCAGGATGTGTACCTCAAAAATGTAAATTTGTGCTAATGACAAAGACAGCGAAGTGGGCTGTAGCTTCCGGTAGAACCTTCAAGATTCAACTTTACCTCCTGCCCCTACAGACGCCCCCGGCTCTCTTTCTCTGCCTCTGGGACCCCAATTCCCAAAGCTCCAAACTCACAGTACAGACAAGCTACCTCAACTGCATTCAACCTCCAGGGGTCCGTGCATTTCTGCTTCACTCTTACTCAGGCAGGGCTGCCTGCCCCTCCCCTCCTGTGCCACTGCAGACACCAGGACTCACTACTCTAGACCCAGGGCCTGCTGATACTACCCTCCCCACCAGCTCCCAAATATGCATTGCCTGGAAGGAGAGTTTTGCTTAATTGCCTCAAAAATATTTCTTGTATGTTTGCCTCTACCGTAAGGTACTATAATCTGTAAAGGTAAGAAACAGACTTTCTATCTATCTGGGTATATTGACTACTCAGGCATCTGTTAAACACTCAGTGGTTTTACCTACTCCCTAAAGTGATCTGAAGACTTTTAATATTAGAATCACCATGCAAAGGTGAGGTACCCTTTACTTAAAATGAGGATTCTACCTCTTTCTGATGGAGTCACAGTTTTTCTTAGCACAGGGCCCCCACAAATTTGCTTTTGAAAGTTCCCCAGATAATTCTAATATATCCTAAGTTGAGAAGAGTGTTTAGAACAATATTCTGCCTCTTTGGTCATTCAAGAAATACGGTACAAAAAGTCACCGCTGAGAAAACGTGCCCCGCATTCACATGAAAAGAAGCAAACTTGGCAATGGTGCATTTTTCTAACCTTTCATGTAAACGATATTAGGAGTGAAAGGCTCGGTGGCTACAGTGACTACATTTCCAAGACCAGCAATAGCAGCCCATTCACTAGTAATGTGACAAAAATCTGGAAAAAAATTATCAGGTCAGAGAAGCTAAGACATAACATTGGTGGCCGTACAGAGGGTACCCTTCAGCTCAGGGACCCACAGACAAACTCACAGCTTCTACTATAGGAAACTGATGAGGCCGCAAGCAGCCTGTTTTAACAATAAGCAAGGTAACAAGTGAGCCTACTGGTTTCCAAGAATGAGTAGCATGACAGAAGGAAGCTGGTCTCCTCAGAGCCCTGTCGCACAATACCCGGGGGCTGTGGCTGTAGAAACATCGGGGCCTTTTTCCTTTGTTGGCTCAATACACAGAAGTCCAACAGGGTGGGAAGTGAATCCCCTCCTGAACTGTGGCTTCTCCAGGAAGGATTTCTTCCCCGCCCCATCTGCAGGAGGCACTTGGAAACACAGTCACAGATGTCTCTGCCCGGAACACAGTTCACGTAGGCCTAGGCAGCAGAACACAGGTGATATCTCCATACCCCTCAGCCACTTTCTGACTGAGTCATGGTATCAGCCAATAGTAGTCTTCGGGACTACTATTTAAAGAAATATAGTCACCATCCGTGAAGATGCAACCAAAACGTACAGGCACAAAGATTTTGAAATGTAAAATGTTTGTGTGAGAAAAAATACCAGTGACTTTTCCCTCTTCCTCAAGGGTTAAGTCCCCTGTGGGTTGCCTGTTTCAAGGTCAACAGGCTGGCAGAAAAATGTCTAGACCAAAGGAGCTGACTATCTGGTTCCTCACCCAAGTATCTGACAGTGATGGTGCGCTCTCCATGGCACTCCTCTTGAGATTAGATAACTCAGGTAAAGAAGGTGAAATGGCTCTGCCAGTGGCCAGCATGGTCAGAGGTGAGGTGCTCTCCTCTCCTCACACCGCTGGGAAAACTGGGAGAATGGGCCTCAACAAAAGTAACATGTCTGGGGAAATTTCCAAAGCAAGGCTAGACATCCAGAGGCGGGGTGGGTGGGGACTACGTCAGGCCCTGGAGGCCCCGAGGCCATCATCTGTTTTATATGCTGCATTAACTCTGAGCTGCAGAGTCCCAGCTGGTCAATGACTTCCACATGTGCAAAAAGTTCTTGTTTGACCGAAGGAAAAGTTCTGAGAGACCCTCATAGCTGCACCCGGTGTTCGGCGTGGACGTGACACGAAGGAGCAGATGTTTGTCCCTGCAGAGGACAAATGTCTTTCCCTTCTGCCTGCCCCCAACCAGCTCACAAACTTAAACCGTACCCTTTGGCAGCTGGGTTGGGTAACAGTAGCCATCCCAAGCCTTAACCAGCAAGCACAGTGAAACTGCCGTCTGCACAAAATCAACCCAACAAGATTTTGGAACAAAAGTCTAGAGCTAAAGAAAGAAAAACAAAGAAAGGGGGCAGGGGAAGTAAGGGATGGCAGTCAGAAAGAGAACTCCAGAAAAATCAGGACTTTACTATAAACAGAAAGACGTTTCCTTCTGAAGACAGGGAGAAGGCCTAGGCCTCTGATTTGGGGGCGAGAGTCCCTGAGTTGTGGCTCACCTGTGTGTACCCCCTTCTTTCATCTACAGCCTGAGGAGTCGAAGCTGTGTATCTTAAAAGGAAGCCGCCTTGGCTCGGC